CAAAGGCTCTCACAAGCGGGAAGGGCTGGAGTCACTTACCAGTATTTGCATCCTGAAGGCAGGAAAACACATGTCAGACGATTTCAACACTTTGTCTTATGAGAAGGCTCATACGAACCTGCTCTAGACCGAGTCTTGATCGGCCGGGGACGAACTGGCTGGTTGACGAGCATGCTGATGGAATACTGTCAAAAGCTGCGAATGTTGGAAAGATGTTCGACCTTCGCAGCACAAGGACTTGACAACCCTGCCCGAGTTCGACTCGCATGTGGTGGTGCTTTTCGAGAGACAGCAGGGCGAGTGGCCGCTGCGGCCGACAGGAGGCATTGGTATTTCAACGAGCCATCCTCGCGGGGACGGACAGGGTGTGCAGGGTTCCCCAACTACCCCAGTGCGTGAGGGGAAGGCATGATGGAGGGGTTGCCGCGAGGGCAGGACGATTTGGAGAAGGGGCCGAGCAGTGAATGCACCGCCGGAGACATGCCGATTCCAAGAATGGCTGCCGTCCCAAGCGTTCTGGGTGTGGCGGGACCTCTGGGGACCCCAGAAAATGTCGAGCTAGAGGATGCATCGATAGATTAACCGGCCATTCAGCCTCGACTCTGGTGATCATTCGACTGGAAGTTCGTTGGCTCAATGCGCGAATGTGGAGATGATGGACCCTGCTGCTGTGACCTAGCCGCTTAGCGACTGCTGACATGCAAGGGTCGACGACGGGCCATTGACATTGCCATTCACGATGTGGCAGGTGGCGCGTGGTCCAGCCAATCGTTCGAATATACGTTGTTGATGAGCAGATGAGATGTGGTCGAAATGAGCGGCCTTGCCACTGATCTCGGAGGGAGCGGCCGAAGGTGGAGTGATGGCTGTCGCTCTCACGTCTGGCCTGATGCATCTTGATGAACGGGGCCGCAACGTGGTGCTGGAGTGGCACCCTCTCAACGGCGTGCTTTTGGGACGGGGAATCGGCTTCACCCGTAGTGAAAATGGATCTGGGCGACGGGAATCAATCGTGAAAACGCACGACTGACTGAACGAACGGAGACCAGAGTCAGGCGAGAAAACGAGTCCGGGACTCTTTTCCGAGGTGAGGTGCAAGAAGCAACTGTGAGTGTTGCAAAGAGGAAAGGAAACGGAAAATGGGCATCTCGTTGGTCATTGGAGGAGCGGAATTCCCCCGGTGCCATTGGTCTGTACTCCGCTTTCCCCCAAAAAGCACGGTCCAGCAGTCTCGGTTAAACCTGCTTCCCACGTGCGCTGGCAACCACCACCACGTCGTCTTCTCTCAAGCCCAGGCCACATCTAAAGTTCTCCTTCATCTGACATGCGACACTGATCTCATCTTTTTCAGGAGATGGAAATGTTCTAGAGGAATACCATATACCATTATTTTGCCTTCCGTTGCCTTTCTACATCAGCGCCAGCCACTAGTGTCCAGTCATTCCGTCAAATCACTCATACAAGTCTTGACCAGCCGAACGATCCCCGGACCCAAACGCCCTGCTTGATAAAACACAGTGATCCTTTTATCCAAAGAAAATCAATTCGCCAGTTGCTCGCGCTTGGCCTTAGCGATAGCAGACGTGCCAAGCCGGGTCAACTCCAGGACGAATTCGTCAATCATCTTGACATGAGCCACCTCGTATGCCGTCAGGCGGCGGTTTCGCATGCCTTCGATCAGCTTCGGTACTGATTGCAATAGTTCCATGTCTTCTCCGGCCTTTGCATTCAGAGGATCCAGGAGCAGGTTGCAAAAGATCGTGAGGATAGCCGACATGGGGTAGAACACCACCATCCTGGTCACGTTAGCCAATGATTCGGTCTCTCCTAACGGTACTCCTTTCGGCAACTTACCAGAACGCAACCTGCTCAACACCGTGAATAGCGGCTCGCAGGAAATATAGCGTTGATCGACTCGCTTGCACGGATAGCGCAAGACTTGAGCTGACTCCCTCCAGACCGCCACCTTCACCACTTGCCCAGCATCGACACCTGCCACTGGCTCGGTGGATCATGGCCATCAGATAGTGGTATTCGAAGTGGAGGATGATCTCCTCCATACCAAGCCGACCTTTCCTGATGGTCATCGTCCCTCGAGGGAACGTCAAGGTCGGCCTATACGACTGTGGTACTGACATTCTCCATCCCTCCAGCTCATCATCCAACTCGCGAATATCTCTCAGCATTTCCGCGTCGCTCTTCTTCAGCGCCGCAACAGAATACAGCATTCGACTGATCTTCGATTTGATGATGGTCAGCTGCAGCGAATCTGGTTGCAGCGTTGACGTGATCGTCGCCTCGTCGAGAAATGATGGCGAACCACCCGTGTCGTCAGAAGCTCGCGTCCACCAATCCATTTGCGGAAGAGTCAGGTCGCAGTGCTCGTCGTCGATGCTCGGCGGTTGACCCGTTCGCAGGGAAATCTCCTTGTCAAGCTTGTACGACAGCCAGAACAGCCGCCGAAGCTGGTTCCTCACTCGCCAAGCATGGTCGTCCCCAGCCTTTGGCGACTGGTGGGGGGTGCGGCTTGTCCCGGGCTCAAGATGCCCGCCAAGCATGAACAGGACTCGACATGTGGCCGAGTGGAACATAGCCCCTTGTTGGAGGTGGCCGCAGAAGAGATGATACAAACTCTACGGAAGTCATATGTCAGTAACCTTTCGGCAATTGCCTCGCATCCAGAATCTTACCAGCATGAAGACGGTCTCAAGAGCCGTGATATTGGTATCCTGGAGGATCATTGCCAGCAGACTTTGAGCTGCTCCCGCACACGCCTCGCCATCAATCTCTGGCACCGACTTCCACTCATCCTGAAAAAGAGAGACAACGGCAAAGAATGAAAATACACAAGCTTTTGCTGTCACAACCTCGAGACTCGGTGAACCGTCAGTCGAGCTGTAAGCCAGTTCGATTGTTTCCATGAACAAGGCATGGTCGATAAGGGGGAACGATAGCCCAAAGTGAGAGGCACGAAAGAGCGCCAGGTACTCTTCGACAGTTACCCGATTAGGAAGTTCACCTCCAGTGTTGGTCTGCGGAAACCCCAGAAGGATGGGGACCGGGTGCTGGGTCTGCCACAGCGGGCCAAGAGCAAATAGAGTGTTGATGGAGGCATCTTCGCCCGTCCGGGAGCGAATCCAGTCTTGCCCGTCGGCGGAGAAGAACGGGATACCATTGTAAGAGCTGATATCGCCCATGTAGTAGCCGGCAAAGTGCATCTTACCCACCGTAGCGCCGGATGCCCGTATAGATGAGTCATAGGCTCGGACTTGGGATGCCTCCGGGGTCCCGTCGGCGGCCGGGGGGTCCGGCCCGACGGTTGACATTGGCGCCGATGATGACGATGGGGACATGGATGGGTCCCGCCCCTCATCCCCAGCATCCTGGGTGCCTTGGTTCCGCCGAGCCGCCTCGAGAGCTTGTTCAATACGGTTGAGGCGCTCGACTAGGTCCTTTTCAGATCCAGCCCTGCGGACGTCGTAAATCTTTGATGCTCCGTTCGATGATTCATCGAGAAAAGAGAGAGATAGGGGTTGGGTGGGGGCCGATTCCGCAGGGATAACTCACCTAGCTGTGGCCACTCGCTTCTTCACCTTGGTGGCGCGGTTGAAAGTGCATGCCATCCCATGGTGCTTGCACCAGTTGCATTGCGGCACGGCCCCGTCACATTGAATCTTGAAAGAATGAAAACAGATTAGCATGTCGTCTGAGACAGGTAAACAAACTTGAGTCCACGATAGACGGGCCGGAAGCATACCTTTCTCCTGTGACAGGAATCACACGCTCTCTTCCTCATGTTGACCCTCACTCCTGGCTTCTGATTCGCGCGTTAGCAGCCGCACTCCGCGGCACGCTGCTTTGGTGTCGCCAGGGACCGGAATAGCTCCAGTGAGGTAATCCGTCTCGCGTTCGGTAGGGAAGCCGGTTTGCCAGTCGTCCGCCGTTCTTTCTCTCTGCTCGCACCACGAGTAATCAAGAACACGCCTGTTTACGGCAGTCATTCCCCCCTTCGGTAGATGTATGGAAACGGCCCGCTGACTCAGCGGCACTCGACCACCCCTGACTAAGCGGTCAACGCTAAAAGGGGAGCGTCATCCTCCACGCCCCGTGCTTTAATTGGTCCTCACGGGGAAACCTTAACGCAAAACTTCAGGCGTGCTCCACCGTCATCTCCAAACTCTGCGCCCGTGCCCGGTGCTCCGAGACACGCCGCCCCGACTCGTTCGGCACCAACAACCTCCCCCCGAAACAACACCAAGCCCTACGAACCGTCCCAAAAATGTCCAACTCGCCGCTGAGTAAGCGGCCTTCTCGCTGCTTTGGGACAGTAGACCGAGTCTGACTGGTGAGCCTCACTGCGGCTCTCGGGTCTTTTCAAGGGATCTGCCTGGGCCTGGCCCACGGCATCCCGTCGCCTCGGCCAGGGAACCAACCCCGAGCGCCCAGCTGCCACGCCGTCGCATGCAGGGTTCATCCAACCAGAGTGCCGTGTTTGGTCTTTGGAAGCAAGTGGGATGAAAGGAAAAACAATTATTCAGCGGACCCAGGGCCTTGGGCCACGGTCCCGAAACATTTTTTTTCACCTTCGGACAACAATGGCGTCGTGCAGCGTGCTTGGGGGCGCCTGGAGAGTAAGCTTTCGGACGAAATTTTGTCATCGAAGACACGGGATGACGGGTCACCTTGTTGCCATGGCGTGCCCTCCTTTATCACATTCACTCCGCTTGCCCCGATTTGGACCCGTTATTCCATCATGCTAGGGGTGCTTGCTTGTTGCACAGAGATCTCTGGTAGCTTCTGATCGGGTCGTAATCTCTGCCCATGTGGCCGAAGTCCATCGGCGGGCCGGCCGGACTTTAGGGGCAACAGCAAATGACGAAAATGACTAGAGATAACAAATAGAAGACCTCCCACACACCCAAGGATGTTCCCATGCTTTTGACTTGCTTCTTTGCTATCAAGCGTGCTCTCGACTCAAGTCCTTCGAGATAGTGTGCACGATGAACTTCACATCCGAGAAACAAGAAGTCGGCTCATCGTACTCTCGCGAAGGCAACATGGAGTCCGACGGCACGCTCAACAACGGTTCCAACTACGAGCAGTCGCTCGAGCTCGCCCAACTCCCAGACGATGACACCACCTGGCATCTGAAGCACAAGATCGAGGCCGTCAGGCAGAGAGATGAGCGTTCTGGTTTCCCTGCGAGAGAGCTGGGTGTGACATGGCAGAACCTCATGGTGCAGGCCGTCAGCGCCGACGCGTCGATCCACGAAAACGTCCTATCACAGTTCAACGTTCCCAAACTCGTCAAGGAGTCCCGCCACAAGCCGCCCCTGAAGACGATTCTCGACAACTCCCATGGCTGCGTCAAGCCCGGCGAGATGCTGTTGGTTCTCGGAAGACCTGGATCCGGATGCACGACACTACTCAACATTCTCGCCAACCACCGCCGCGGATACTCTTCAGTCACCGGCGACGTTCACTACGGTTCCATGTCTCACAAGGAGGCGGAGAGGTATCGTGGCCAAATCGTCATGAACACCGAAGAGGAGCTGTTCTTTCCCACCCTTACCGTCGGCCAGACTATGGACTTCGCAACCCGTCTCAAAATTCCCTTCCACCTCCCCGATGGTGTCTCGTCCAACGAGGAGTTGAGAGCGGAGAACAGGGATTTCTTGTTGGAGTCGATGGGTATCCAGCACACTTTCGACACCAAGGTCGGCAACGAGTTTGTTCGTGGTGTTTCTGGTGGTGAGAGGAAACGTGTCTCTATCATCGAGACCATGGCGACGAGAGGTTCGGTCTTTTGCTGGGATAACAGTACCAGAGGACTGGACGCCAGCACGTAAGCTACTCCCTCATCTGATGCTTTGGATGGAGGAGTTGGACTAACATCATTACAGTGCCCTGGAATACACCAAGGCAGTCCGTGCCATGACCGACGTCCTTGGTCTCGCCTCTATCGTCACCCTCTACCAAGCCGGTAACGGTATCTACAACCTCTTCGACAAGGTTCTCGTCCTCGACAACGGCAAGGAGATGTACTACGGACCCATGAAGGAGGCCCGTCCCTTCATGGAGCAGCTCGGCTTCATCTGCTCCGACGGCGCCAACGTCGCCGACTTCCTCACCGGTGTCACCGTTCCCACGGAAAGAGCCATCCGTCCCGGCTTCGAGAAGACCTTCCCCCGTACCGCCACTGCCCTCCGCGCAGAGTACGAAAAGTCGGACATCTACCCCCGCATGATCGCCGAGTACAATTTCCCCACGACAGAAGCAGCCAAGGAGAAGACGAAGCTGTTCGAGCAAGGTGTTGCCAACGAGAAGCACAAGCAGCTTCCCGCCAACAGTGCCCTCACAACAAGTTTCATGACCCAGGTCGGCGCGTGTATCCAGCGTCAGTACCAGATCATCTGGGGTGACAAGGCCACATTTATCATCACTCAGGTGTCTACCTTGGTCCAAGCCCTCATCGCCGGTTCTCTCTTCTACAACGCTCCCAACAACTCTGGTGGTCTGTTCTCCAAGGGTGGTGCTCTCTTCTTCGCCCTCTTGTTCAACAGCTTGCTGTCCATGTCCGAAGTGACCAACTCTTTCACCGGTCGTCCTGTGCTTATTAAGCACAAGTCCTTCGCCTACTACCATCCCGCCGCCTTCTGTATCGCCCAGGTCGCCGCCGATATCCCGGTCTTGATATTCCAGGTCTCGGTCTTCTCCGTGGTCTTATACTTCATGGTCGGGCTTAAACTGAGCGCGTCTGCCTTCTTCACTTTTTGGGTCGTCGTGTTTGCCACCACGATGTGTATGACCGCGATGTTCCGTTTCATTGGTGCCAGTTTCTCGACATTCGACGGCGCTTCGAAGGCATCCGGCTTCATCGTTTCCGCGACAATTATGTACTGCGGCTACATGATTCAAAAGGGACAAATGCACCCGTGGTTTGTGTGGCTCTTCTGGATTGTGAGTGATTTTCTGGGATTTATTTGATCTGTGGTTGTTTTATGATTGATTTTCAATGATTCTGGTGATATTCCGGCGATGCTCCGGACATTCCGGACATCGGCGCCGCGGTGTGGGTCTCCGCACTCCGCACCGACTGGCCCGTGCACACGCACCTCCCCGAAGCACCACGCAAAGTATTTTGCTCCCGATCATTTGCTGACTATTTATTCGCAGAATCCCTTGGCGTACGCCTTCGACTCTCTCATGTCGACCGAGTTCTATGGCCAGCTTCTTCCTTGCGTTGGCAACAACCTTGTCCCGAACGGACCCGGCTACACTGACCCCAACCACCAGTCCTGCGCTGGAGTTCCCGGTGCCACTCAAGGCCAGACCTCCTTTATGGGTGATCAGTACCTGTCAGCCCTCTCTTACTCTCACAGCCATGTCTGGCGCAACTTCGGCATTGTCTGGGCCTGGTGGGTGCTTTTTATCGCTCTCACGGTCATCTTCACCTCGCGCTGGCGTTCCGCCGCCGAGGGTGGTGCTTCCCTCCTGATCCCTCGTGAGAACGCCAAGGTCACCGCAGCCCTGAAGAATGACGAGGAAGCTCAAACTACCGAAGAAGCTTCGGGCAACAAGAGCGACAACGAGAAGCGTGATGCCAACGGCAACACCAGTGGAGACGAGACCGACCAGAACCTTGTCCGCAACACCTCCATCTTTACTTGGAAGAACCTGACCTACACTGTCAAGACTCCCTCCGGAGACCGCAAACTCCTGGACAATGTTCAAGGATATGTTAAGCCTGTAGGTCTTCTTGGTGCACAATGTTTGAAAGATTCGCTAACCTTCTCCTCCTTAGGGTATGCTGGGAGCTTTGATGGGTTCATCTGGTGCTGGAAAGACCACCCTACTCGATGTCCTCGCTCAACGCAAGACAGAAGGTACCATCCACGGATCCATCATGGTTGACGGTCGCCCTCTCCCTGTTTCCTTCCAACGTTCCGCCGGATACTGCGAGCAGCTCGATGTTCACGAACCCTATGCCACCGTCAGGGAAGCCCTCGAGTTCTCAGCCCTGCTCAGACAGAGCCGTGACACTTCCCGCGAGGAGAAGCTTGCCTACGTTGACACCATTATTGATCTTTTGGAGCTTCACGACCTGGCCGATACTCTCATTGGAAAGGTCGGCAACGGCTTGTCCGTCGAGCAGCGCAAGCGTGTCACGATCGGTGTCGAGCTCGTCTCCAAGCCCAGTATCTTGATCTTCCTTGATGAGCCTACCTCAGGTCTCGATGGACAGTCCGCGTACAACACCGTTCGCTTCCTTCGCAAGCTTGCGAATGCAGGCCAGGCCGTCCTCGTCACGATCCATCAGCCTTCTGCCCAGCTCTTCTCCCAGTTCGACACCCTGCTCCTTCTCGCCAAGGGCGGCAAGACTGTCTACTTCGGCGACATTGGCGACAACGCGAAGACTATCCGCTCCTACTTTGGTCGATACGGTGCCCCCTGCCCCGAGGAGGCTAACCCCGCTGAGCACATGATTGATGTCGTCTCCGGCCACCTGTCCAAGGGCAAGGACTGGAACGAGGTGTGGCTATCTTCTCCTGAGCATGAGGCCGTTGTCAAGGAACTCGACCACATGATCCAAGACGCCGCCTCCAAGCCTCCTGGTACTGTCGACGATGGTCACGAGTTTGCTCTTTCTCTCTGGGACCAGACCAAGATCGTCACCCATCGCATGAACGTGTCCCTCTACCGCAACATCGACTACGTCAACAACAAGTTCGCTCTTCACATCTTCTCTGCCCTCTTCAACGGTTTCTCCTTCTGGATGATTGGTGACTCCGTTGGCGACCTCCAGATGCGTCTCTTCACGATCTTCAACTTCATCTTCGTCGCGCCCGGTGTGTTGGCTCAAGTTCAACCTCTCTTCATCGACCGCCGCGACATCTTCGAGACTCGTGAGAAGAAGTCCAAGATGTACTCCTGGATTGCCTTCGTCACTGGACTCATCGTCTCTGAGATCCCGTACCTCATCATCTGCGCCGTGCTCTACTACGTCTGCTGGTACTACACTGTTGGATTCCCCTCTGAGTCTTCCCGCGCCGGATCCACCTTCTTCGTTATGCTCATGTACGAGTTTGTGTACACGGGTATCGGTCAGTTCATCGCCGCCTACGCACCCAACGCCGTCTTTGCCTCCCTGGTCAACCCGCTGCTCATCGGAATCCTGGTTTCCTTCTGCGGTGTTCTCGTATCATACGATCAACTTCAGAGTTTCTGGAAGTACTGGATGTAAGTAATCTCCTTTTTGTCACTTGTTTCTTGACATTTCGCTAATCACTTACATAGGTACTGGATCAACCCCTTCAACTACCTCATGGGCAGCATGCTTGTTTTCGACATCTGGGGAACGGAAGTCACCTGCAAGGAAAGGGAGTTCGCCCTCTTCGATCCTCCCAACGGCACCACTTGCGCCAACTACCTGGCCGATTACATGATGGGCATGGGCTCCTCCAGCAACCTCATCAACCCCGATGCCACTTCCGGATGCAAGGTCTGCCAGTACCGCGACGGCAGCGACTACCTGCAGACCGTGAACCTCAAGGAGTACTACTATGGCTGGCGCGATGCTGCCATCGTCGTCATCTTCGCCATCAGCTCCTACGCCCTGGTGTACCTTCTCATGAAGCTCCGCACCAAGACCTCCAAGAAGGCGGAGTGAGCGTGGCTCATCTCCCCTTCAGTTCGCCTCTCTTACCTCGTCACTCTGATACCACACGCGCACTACTGCAGCATCTTAGATTGTACCACCTTCACGGGTAGATCTCGGGATAGCATTTGGGTGGACACTTTTCTTTCTTCCTGTTTTATTGCATTAAAGCGGAACTATTATCATAACTGGCTGTAGATTTCATGGGGGGATTCAATGTTTACTACATAATAGATGTCTAGGGTACATAGATTGGAATGGCATTATGATGTCCAACGTTCGATAGCGCGTTCAATGTCGGTGAAGCCTTTCCTCAATGAGTCGGGCGAAGATAGCAGTGGGTGGAATACTACACTTTCAACTCTTATTGGGTTATGCGTTGGTTAATACCCTTTCATCAATATTCTTCATTGACCGTGACTAGATATCGGCAAGAGAAACCTGAAGACTACTATCTTGAGAATTAGGCAACGAAAACGTTGACTCGTATCCCATCACGACCGTCGACTCTAGTTGGAGGACCGCAAGCTCCAAATGTCTACCACAGTGTCTATGCATTCCTGGTTCAGACATTCAGCGGAAAGCAAAGCTTTAAGGCATAACATCAAATCTCGGAATCGGGTTGAATGAACATCAAGGTTTGTCATTAATTCTAAAGGCCACTTGTCCTGCAGTGTGGCTCATCCGCTGTGCATTACTGAGGATACGTCCTCTCAACAACAACGCCGCATGGGTAGTAGTTTTTGCCCTCTGGACTCCCAGCAACGTTCATCAAGGTGTTCCAAATGCTCGTGCACACAGGAAGCGAGAAGAACCCAGGAGTCCGCACACCACCCGAAAGCATGAGCTCGTCCACAGGTCCACTGCTGGTATCCAAGGACATGTTGTAGCCGTTGCGGTTGCCGTTGGCCAGATAGCCGCTGTAAGAGCTAATGACGATGTCGTCTAACGTGATGCCACCCCAGCTCTTTCCATCCAAAATATCGTGTGTGCCACCAGCAAGTTGCTGGAAAGGCGGTTCTGAGTCGGGAAGGCCGGGTGTGTCGGCTTGGACGTCGACTCGGTACGTTCCAATGGTGAGAACATAAAACTGGTTTCCGTTCCAGCAGACACCTGACTTCTTGTGCGTATCTTCGTCCATGTATGGGTCTAGCGTCTTGGGCATGGTGTCTGAGCATGCGTCTCCCGTCTTGCTGTTTGATTGTGTAAGTTGACGAATACTTGGTTGAGAAAAGCTTGACTTACAGCACAAAAGGTTGGAATCCAGCCGGCGCTACAGACCAGGCAATGGGAATCATTTGTCCAAGCAAGATCTTCTGAACGTTATCCTTCATTTCTGAGAGGTTGATGTCGTCAGGGACCATGTTCATCATGCCCTCGCGGATCAGTCCCGAAAGCATGTTGTTCGTGGTGCTGTTTGACCCAGAGAAGACTTCTGACAAGTAATCGTTCTGAGTCTTTTTCCATACGTCGAATAGAGTGCCCATGGCGGACGACAGGTCGTTTTGGACGCTGGCGGAGTCTTTCGCGCTGTTGATGTGTTGTGTTAGCATCTTCCTTCGGGATAAGTCAGCGAGATTACGACGTACGCCTTGGTGGTATCCTTGGCTAGTGCGAATGAAGAAGCAATGGCGCTGTTGAAGGTATCCTTGGCGAAACTTCTGTAGGCGCTGGTAGCGAAAATGGCGGCGTCATGGATAACTTCTCTAATCAGCAAAAAGGCTTTCGGTCATCAAAACGAGAGAGACCTACCGATGTTCCAAAGTCCCGCAGAAGACAAACCAATACCAAATTGCAATACATCAAGCACAATCTTGACTAGGGTTGAATCATCCTGAGCCTTCAACTGGGGGGCAAAAGCTCCGGTGAAGTCTCCAATTACGGCGGAAAGACTGAGCTGGGCATCTTGCAGCGCTTCATGATATTTTTGGAAAATCTTGTGACCGGTTAGCGATGGCCTTTGAAACAGACTATGATTTTATCTCACGTCGTGCAACTTTGCGAAGGAGTTGAGAACAAGGAATCTATTTGGAAAGTTAGCCAAGTGTATCTGTGTAACTTTAGGAAGAGCCAGGTATGTAGCGTACCCTGCTGGTGTTTTGGTAGCCGCGCACTGAACCGTCGTTGAACAAGGGGTATTAACGGGATCTTGGCAATCCCATCCTTCAGGGCCGCCGTAGAAGTCGCTGATGAAGGCCGGGAACTTGAGTTGAACCTGGCCATCTCCAGGTGCATAATTATGCCAGGCAGCGACAGCGGCGTCCCAAGATGTGTTGGCGTCGGCAGCTTGCCAGCGGACGTTGGATGCGACTTTAGCGTCTGTGATGTTGGTATCGGTGCACTTGACGTCTTCCCACTTTGGCGTGTCTCGGATCCAAAGTGAGGTGGGTGAGGCGGTGGCAGTGGCAGCCAGAAGAACAAACGCTACGTTAACCATCGTTGTAACAAGGTAGAGACAGGCTGGAAAAAGAAAAGAATTCCAAAGCAACGAATAAGGGGTATCAAGCGAACGACTGGGGAAAAAACGATGAGAGATCGTCGGATCTTGCTGAAGCGAACCGCGATGCTGGTACCGGCATATTAACATCGTCGACAACTTGCCATGGTGAACGCCCTACCACAGGGCCACGGTACGGGCCGGCAGAACTGAGTCGCATCACGAGTTGTACGTTGCGCTCAGCGACGAACAAATCGACCACATGTGTGCTATAACAGCTGCCATTGGTGCCGGTTCAGCCGTGCCCACCGTAGATCGATGGAGTTCACGGTTGATCGGAACTGTCACAAATTTCATGCACATTGGGGGTTTTAATTAGCTATCCTCTAATGTGGGTCATCAGTGCTATATGATATATTTAATATGAGGGTGTTCCCAGGACTTCAAAACCGAAAAAGCGCACACAGCCTCCGGACCGAGTCAGTATCAAGGAGCAGCGTGGTGAAAATTCCACCCACGTGGTCGTTCTTACTGGCCCAGGCGGAAAACGTGCTCGAATGGCAAGTGTTCCTTCATTTTCTCAGTTTTTGACAAGTTTAGAAGTTCGCCATGACGAAAAGCAATCGTGCCATCCCTCAGTTTCTTGAATGGCTGGAGGAAGTCCAAAGCGAGTCGTGCCCCTTATTTGTATTAGTGATGGAATCGGGAAACGTGGGATGAAATCTCAAGCCAGGATTCCCTTAAGGTGTCGCAAATTTCCCCGATTGTCTTTTAAGAGTTCAATTGATTGCATGATCAGAGCTCGTCGCACTGGCCAAGGGAACCCAACGCGTCCTGTTTTTCACACCTCCGAAACAACCTGGGATACCGAGCATAGAGAAAAGCCAAAACTCGGCCAACACCGACTTCTTTCATACCATGAGTTCAAGCTCAATGTCAATGTCTTTCAGGTTGTAAGTGTTTCTTCTGCAAAAGGGCTTGGCATTGTACAGGAATTGACCGACATGCAGCCTCAGCCTTCTCCTGCTGGTTTTCTTCCAGTGCCGATCAATTCTGGCGTCAGGATGCACACAAGTACATTGCCAAGTGACTGTCTGCGCCGCAAACGCCGACGAAGCATACAATGAAGCGAGTCTTGGCCTGGTAGCCATCATGGGGCCTGATTGTGCGAGCTGGCAACCCGGCTCGCCGACGAACGCGGGCCAGGGCGCTTGCGCAGCCGGCCTCTCGACCTTTACCGGCAACTTCGACATCTGGCGCGCCTGGACAGCGCACGGCGACGACTACTCGGCGACGTTCGCTCAATGGGGCAACTTCATTGGCGCAACTTGTACGGGAGGCAAGACTGTCAAGTGTGATCCCAAGTCGGGCCAGTACCCCAACCCGACGAACGGGAGATGTCAAACGCAGCAATGGTTAGTACTGTGGACTCTCGGAAGCCTTTTCATCATCACTAACTCCTCGCAGTGTTCTTGACAAGTCGTGCTGAGACGTTTTGGATGACCAGAAACAGCTTGGTCTTGCATTTGTTCGGCGTTAAAGGTTTTGAGAGTTTGAAGCGTTGATTACATGAACCGGAAGCTTACAAACAGCGAAGCGTTGCATCAAGACGAAGCATTTACAATAGGAGTTAGACAGCTGGGCCTGTATCATCCTGTGAAGAAGAAGGATTACATTCGAGCAAAGAGTTAAGCGAACCCCTGCTGTTCAAGCAGATGTTCGAAGCTCCCGAAGCTGGTGGAGCTAATATCATACTATTTTGACCACCCACATACATTTATGCAACTCACATATCTTTGCTGTAAACCGCGGAGTATTCTTCAATTCTTCCGATGTCATCCAATATCGAGGTTCTCACGAAGAACCATTTTTCTATGACCAGACTGACAATGTGATTCGTTCCAGCTTCCTAACTATAGGTGTGAACCCAAGTAGTGGCTTTTCTTGTCAAGGTCTTTTGAATTGTCAATTCGCCAGACAAGCTATGTTGTTGTGTGATTCATTCCCAATAGACCAGACAATATGGACACTGAAGCCGTGAAACTCTCGGAGCGGAAGCCCGAGACCCAGGGCCGAGACTCCCACCACCGCTGCTATCCGCGCCTCCCTCCCCGTAGAGTTAACGGATCTCGCTCAGGAAACCGTTCCAGCGAGCAACTCTTCCGCACCGACATATGATAAGTTTGATTCATAGGATTGCCCCTATGAGTAGAAAGTTGACACCGGTCGGTTGAAGGCTTGATAATTGTGCCAGTTTCTACGGACGAAGTCGTAATTAACCACTGTGTCATTTCTTAGATACAAGGCTGACACGTCCGATTGCTCCCTTTCTTCATCCTGACCAGGCACTGACGAGGACGTAAGCTGTAGCCATGTTACCATCACACCTCTGTGGTTTCTTCTGATTGAATGAGACAAGTTCCGTTCAGTTTCTCGAGAAATTCCTTACTCTAAATTCGGCCGCAGCTGCATATTTTGACTTGTGATAGTTTGCGCAAAGTGGGATACTGAGCAGCAGACCCAAACTCTGTGACACCAACAGCCGAGTATATGACGCAATCGGTCTTCGAGTAATCAACTGAATATTGTACGTGCTCATCGTATTATCATTGTGACAGCTTTGCGGTATTCTGCGTTCATATACTCTGAGCAGGGCTTCAAATGGTGATAAAAGCGAAGAATTAAGTCCCACTGGTTTCTATTTATCAGCAAAGGTGCCGTGTACATTTGACGGAAGGCACTGTTGAGACCATTATATGAAGAGACATGAAAGGAAAGCAAATATCGCAACACAGACAGCATGGCTGGTAACAGAGACGATCAGAGCAACAAATAAGGACGAATACTCAAGAACAATAGAGATGAAACATAGCATCCAACTGAATGATGAAGTTAACATAGCAGTCCGCCTGCAAACCAAGAACCTGGCTGATAGTAGAACTCTAATCGGGGAAGATATTCAGGTACAGTCGCTTCAGTAGTCAATGGACTCTAATGAGGGACCACTGGATATCAATGTCTTATACGGTGACGAAAAGGGTTCCATTAGAAGCACCTGATTGCACTTCGATGGTGGGATGAAGATTATCTGACACGGAGACTTCACTGCTATCACTCTTTCAGTAGCATCTTTGGGAATCTAATTCAAACAGGTACACGTTCGATCTATTGAACGGAGTCATAGACCAAACGTTTGAGGTCCTCGGATAAGTTGTACAATGAAATAAATGAATTTGCGTAGCTAGAAACGCCGGTTTCAATCCGGCTTGCTGAGGAGGATACTATTTCTCCGCCAAGTCGATCTTCTTCCAATCAATTACGAGCATGAAGAGCCGCTATTGCAAGCCTTCAGGCACTCAGCTTTGAACTCATTGCCCCCAAGGCCTTCAAAAACAAGAAATTGCGTGTTATCACTGAAGATAGAAAAGCATCTCTGGAGTGCCATTCGTTAGACTTGTCCTTCCAAACCATTCGGCGACTTCGACTCACCCCATCCTTAGGCTGGGAAGTTGGCGGTCCAACAGCGTTCGTCGGAATGTTGAAGAACTTCTGGCCAGATGCATAGCCGTTGCACGCTCTTGAAGTACACAGATCATCTCCGTTGCACTTGCAGCTGGCATGAGTGTCGGCCATCGCCCTAGTTATAATTAGCAGGATGTGTGTGATATTACCGTGAAAAAGCACTCACGCCAAGGGCATAATGACAGAGATAAAGAGCGTCGAGAGCTGCATATTTCGTAGGAAGAAAAGAATGACAAGTCGTGATACTGAGACGATGAATGATGGAACGGATAGAAGCACACATCAGAAAACTCAGCGAGGCCACAATATTTATAGAAAAAGACTGATGGCCGAATTTCGTAGAGACCAGTCTGAAATCGGTACGGCGAACGACCGGACTCCGAACAGGTTTGAGATAAGTGATTCAAGTTCTAAGTCACTCGCATGATGGCAAGCACTCCATCATCCCGTCGGCTGGTAATCAATGGCGGTGGCCTGGTTTCACGGAAAATGGCCAATCAAAGAGCACACAGATAATTCGGATCCAATCGCGAGTCGAAAGAGCAGTTGTGCCCACACCTCTAATTCGAGCCGCACGTATGCTGGATTAGATCCGACGGGATACTTTTTCTGAATCTCCTGAGACGAGTCCTTTTTGGCGGAGACATGAGAACAAGGTCCCACTCCTGTCTCCTGGTACTAACGTAGGACATTCAGAAATGCTAAGCTACACAAAGGTCAGATGTTTGCACTAAGATGTGTGACTACTTGAAATCCAAAAGGTGTGGTGCTTCATGTTCTATGCATTAGACATGCAGAATAAGTTTTCGTAACAACCGTCGAGCAGTGCAAGTTGCGATGACAATCTGGATCACCGAAGACATGCTTTGGATGGGTGCATCTTGTGCCATTCTGATGTCGTCCATCCTATGGATATGCACGTGCAACAACCGTCAGCATTTCATCCAGGAAGCATTTGCTCAGACATGACGTGTGTAATTGTTAGACCTCATATCGCCCTGTGACAACATAGGGAACTTATGAGACTATAATTGCGCAGTATTTCTCATCCATTATTTCGGGAACCCAGAGCTTAGAGCAATCTTTCTATCCGCATCTTCAAGTTAGATCTTGGCTGATCTTGGACCACTTGACTCTGACCTTTCACACAGTAAAGCACTTAGTGATAAAGCCTTAGTCGGAACGGCACAGTTTAAATTAGTGATGACAACGTGACAATGGTTATCTTCCAATTCATTGTTCATATAGATGCCCTTACATCTCGGTGCATAACTGATTTATTATGGCAACCAGGTATTGTGCATATTTGGTAGGATTTAAATGATATTGTACTAAAGGGATGTGTGCATCTAGGAAAAGTCGTTCTGGCATCGAAGGAACAGGTTACTCTTGCAGGGATGTGAACAGAAGGGATTTCTAGATCGGCCCAGGGCTTGCTTGCTTCTCATTTGAAGATCGTCACCATTTGGGCTGCGCCCGAGTCAATGGCATCCGGTGAATGCCGAGTCAGTCAGATTATTCCCCTGTCAGCTTCAGATGAACGCGATGATCCTTGGGCACGGTCACCAGATTTCAGCGGCACTGGATGATTGCGGACGCCGGAGTCTGGAACATGAGGCGCAGTTTGAAGTGAGTTTCTGCGCAGGCTCGAGCAGATGTGCCAAGATTTCAACTTGCTCGATATGCTTAACTGTATTCTCCGAGATGCTGCAGAATATCTACCAAGATAACAAAGTCAAAAAAGGAATCACTACCTAGTCCCCGGCAGTCACATAACACCGTGTTTGGGAGGGACGTTGCTCCATAAATGTGTCCATTACTGTCAAAGGATTTAGAAGTCATTGAACAGGACCATCAAGTTACTGGAAACGACCGCGAATAGTAGACACTAAACGTTCTACTCTCTGCCTTCAGTGCTAGAAGTCTGATAACATTTGTAAATGCCCGGCCTCTTCCCATTCAAAACTTTGGGGGTAAAACCAAAAAGCTTTTTAAGGCTGATAGCATGGCCATGAACGTCTTTCTTCCCTTCTATCTTTTTCTGTTCTTTTCGTATTTGCGTCCGTGGACAGCATCGGCATTTCGAGCCATGAAATCTCAATGGAATCAAAGCTACATACCACTCGTACAGCAATATATATTTGAATCATCCGCGCCTCCAAAAAGGGGTTGAGACCAAGTCGACACAGGCAAGTCGCGTTGCTACGCTCGTCACTTCTCTGAGTCCTCTCGAACAGCTACGTACAGTCAGAAGAAACGGCACAATTTGACGAGTTTTCTCTCAGCTCCGTCTGAACTATTCAGGTTTCTTGGCAATATCTGCAGCGACATAAGTGACGAAGGCAGCCACAACGATCTAGACTTAATGTAACAGCGGAGTAGTGGCGGGATCTGATAAGGTTGATAATTGCCATGACAGGGATAGAATGTTGGCAAGCAGTGGCACTTCTACCTTTCTTGCGGATAATACAACAAGCTTAACGCACGTTATCAGAAATGTTAGTTATCCCCCTATATACTTAACAAGCTGCTGGCGCGCATGAGTGCTTCTACTTCATCCTCTTCCAGTACTGCCTACTGCACATTCACTTGTGATGGGAGGTGTGCATCCCTTCGCACTGCACTAAAATGGTCTAAACTTCACGTTAGAATCAGGAGAGCCTTTGATTTATCTGACGGCATCATTCATTTCTTTGGTGACTACAGTGATTGCTAGCCAGTGCTGCAAAGTTGTTTTGAAGACCAAAATCATCACTAAGGAATGTGTCGATCGGAATAGCTGGATAGGTCGATGCTGCATGTCATTCCCCTGGATATCTTCCTTCCTTGCTTTTTTTCTTCGTTCGGTTTAGTGTTGCTATCCCGCCGGACTGCCATCTATGTTAATTTTCTTTTGTTCTTGTCCTCATCATCCAATGTTGTTATTCATGCCGTCATTGTCTCCAGCTTCGGCGTCGTATAACTGCAATCTACAAGGGAATTCCTTGCGTCATTTCAATCAACACCTACTATACGTCATTGAAGAGCATCTGACTGTAGCTATTCCGTTTTCATGGACATAAGAGGTCGTAGTCCGCTTTTCATCTTTTCCCAGAGGCGACTTTGTAGAAAAGCGGCCTCATGGTGCTGTTCAATTCAAGCTGGTGCAGTTTGCGCGCTACCGCCAGATGCCAAAACTGTTCGGAGGGAGCGGGCCGCAGCATTCGTATGCGTTGGGGCTGAGGTTCTTTGCGTGGTAGTTGCGCACAGCAGCATTCGAAGGCCACCCATGTGATTCAAATCGGTTGAGATAGTGACGCAAAGGCTGCAAATGCCTTTTTTGGGTGTGCCACTCTATCCCAGTGTGGGGGGGACGCTGCGGCTTGCGGTCAACTATGCCGCCGTCATTTTACGAGTCGTGGCGTCCAGCTTGTTGGGGTAATATGTAACGAGTCTGTGAGACTTTGGTGTGACGCGCTGGCTGAGTGAAGCTGTTGCTGGCTCTGCCTTGGTCATCATGCGAACAGGGTGCTGACTGTGCAAGACTTCATGACAGATTGCCGAGGTCTAAATTTAATATGCCACCACCGGCTCGGAGAAGCGCAAATCCAGTCCTTTACTGATGTCTCTGACCGAAGTTCGGAGCGTGCCGAGCTAAGCGACTCCTAAGGTTTATTTGAGAAGTTTGACTCGCGCACATGGCCTGGGCATCGCAACTCAGTCATATTCCGCCGGTCAGTTCCAAACGGGGACATATTCTCCCACTCTGACATTAGTTCAAACCTTGTTGCCTTCCAGACTCCCTCGGTCGGCTGTTGAAGCCATCGGAACATGTGTATCTGGCGCCTTCACACTCGGAAAGACTTTGGAAAGACTAAGTCCGCTCCGCTCCGTGCTGTCAGCAGCCGTGATCCGAGACACTTTCCCGGCCAGGCGGGCGTCTGCATTTACGCTTTCTGGAACGACCCAAATTGCTGGGTTCGGTCTTACCGCACGGCTTTAGTGAAGGTTTCAGGGGTCGTTAACTATTTCGCTACCACACCCCTTTTCCACGAATCACGGTGCACAATCGGCAGAAAAGGAAGGTACGTAGTCCAGGGTCTTGCTGATGTGCGAACGCATGGTTCGTCTGAGGAGCAAAGTACACCACTACACACAAAGACCAGACAAAACCCTCCGACTAACGACTCTCTCCACATGAGTTCGCTAGCACTAGTGTCTTTCTAGCGATAACAAGGTTTTAGAGCGTCAAACGTCGAGGAGGCTATGTCTACGCCCAGGCCTATAAGCATTACGGGAAATAGACTCTGCACGCAGCGCCTTGTCATGTTGTCCTCCACGATTTGGGACTATTTGGGACTCCAAGGCTCTCCAAGTAGCTCATCAGAGCCAGTCTTGGACGAACAAGAACGAATCATCTCTCAGAAGCAAAGAAGAACAACGATCGGGGCTTCAAATACCTGTCATGATCTATCCGCCTAACGGTTACACTGCCAGCCAGCATCTGTTGCACACGTACGTGTTCATCGTGGTTGACCCTGCTGGTCAAGACGTTCGGCTAAAGACCATTCTAGAACAACTCAAGTTCAGCCTGCAGATTCATTACTTGGGGTCTCCACGTTGAGAGATCACCTCTCGTCTGATAGTTCAGCTAGCTAAGATCTGTCTGCAGGGTAGGATTGCTCAAGTGACCAAGTTTGCCAAATGAGGAAAGATACCTGACTCGAGAGCCTGAGACAGCCGTTGAGTAGATCGAAAGACGCCGACGATCTCGACGGAAATATTGTTAGCTCTGATTCACAGGATGCATACTTTGGCTGCAAGATGGGTTTGTTACTCAATTCAGTATCTTTTCAGACCTTGATTGAGCTGTCATCTTTACCAGTAGGTGTTACACCGTTGATTTGTTCTCCTTGAATACTAATCTTGGCTTCAGGAGATGGCAGACAGGGATGCCGGGGGTAGCGAATGAATTTAGGTTTTCCGGACTACGCCTGCGGTGTGTGCTGGGACAAGGCTCTGTTTCCTTTCTACGTGGAACATCTGTGGAACGACTCGAGGCCTGCTCGTAACTCCGTTTTTATTGCTCTGACGCTTTTCCATAGTGACGGATTGCTCCTCAAAATGGCTGTCAAATCTTCTAGGCCGCCAGTCGCAGTGCACTGTGATATTTGCGCCCTGTGCCCATGAGCAGATTAATTAAAAACTGCCCTTCTCGATGTTGGCAATTAGTATATAAGATCGAAGTCACTCCTCATGCTTCCAAGAACAGTAGATCATCAGTTTACCTCTCATTCGTTCAACTTAAGCAATTCACTCACTCAACCACAACCAACCAACCAACCAACCAACCATCCACAATGCAGATTCAGAACGTTGTCCTGGCTATTGCCACTCTCTGCCTCGGGTAAGTCCAAGTTGCCAGAGATTTCAAAGTGTATCACTAATCGCTAATAATTCTTCCAGCGCCCAAGCAGCCTTTGACTGCAAGTGCAAGGACGACGCCAAGACCACGTCATGCTGTAACGCCGAGAAGTTCATCTCTGCCAAGAGAAATGACGGAAAGCTGATGGTGAGTGATTCCACACTATCGTCGTTTGCTGCAGTGCAGGCTAACCGTTGAAAGTGCTATGTCAACAACGTCGTTGCCCCTCTCCCTGCCAGCTTCCCGTTCAGGACCTGCTGCGGTACCAACGGCTTCGACTTATGCCGATAAGCGCATAGTCCCTGTGAGACTTCTCAGTTTCGCACTCTCTAGGCGTCACGAGTCAGCTCTCAGAAAGTCTCATCAAAGACCGCAGTTCATTTAGCATGTTATGTTGTGTTTTTCAATTACAAGATTACGATGTATCAGTGTCACTAGCCAAGGCAACAGCGCAATTAGATTAGATAGCCCTCGGCTTGTTCACGCTATTCACAAATCTGTTTTGATCAATTATGAGATTGACGACCTAGTGATCATGTTTACTCAACTGGGCATTACTTTGTCTTTTGAACTTCTCTGGAATCCTTCTTCCCTTTTAACTTTTCTTCCGCAGTTTGCCGCCTGGAGGCGCACCTTGTTGACTGCCGTATGACTCTGACAGGGAAACATGCTGAGGGAGCGTAACCTCTATGGCTAACCCATGGGGTATATGAAGGGGATTTTTGAGCCGCCTGGCCAAGCAGAAGCGGCCCCCCATCACACCATAGCCCAAATTTAGGGTCCTCATGTTCCTTTTAGTCATACAAAATTTCACAAAAGAATTCTTCGCAAAATGGAACTTCTCTGGAATACTAACGCTTCAATTCTATGTTTTCGGTGGCAGAACACAACCTTGGTTTATACTAGCCTTAATATCAATGACCAAGTAGCCGACGTGCTTAATAGCCGAGTAAAGAAGCACTGGCATTCATTCATAGTGGATAGTCTCCCTTTGATTCACATCATCGTACCCATCTTCGTCAGTGGACCTTCACGGGTTGTTGATTTGTAAGTGCCAAATTACAAATCAATGGCTTGGCCACGCCCCTCTTGAATAGCCCCCTCACATGAGGTGCAGAATAATAAGGTTGGAGTCGAAGTCAACAACGCGCCAAGATTCTGTCTTTGAGCTATTGAACTCAGATTAGTGGCTCAAAGAATCCGCACCTATGTCCATTACAGTCTTGACCGCCCGGCATGACCAGGCCGAGCAATCGGGCCATGTTCATTCGAGCATTCCACTTGCGTCCTCGGAAGAATCGACACCGAACCCAACCAGAACTCTCGGCGTGCCTCCTGAGTTCTCTTCATTCGCAGAAGAGATCGGCTTCGTTTGCGTCTGTTCCATGGGCCAGCTCCTCTTCGCGATTCACCTGGCCCACTCCTTCGTCAACCAACTCACCTTCATTGAAGCCCTGGGCACGAGTACACTCAACACATCATGGCTCATCGGCTGCTTCCTCGTCGCAAACGGAGTATCTGTTGTCATCTCAGGCTCCTTTGCCGACCTCGTTAGCCCCAAATATCTCACTTGCGGCGCTTTCGTCTGGCTCTCGATGTGGAGCTTCATCGGAGCTTTCTCGATCTCACCTGAGAGAATCATTCTCTTCTTCATCGCGAGATCAATGGCGGGTCTTTCGGTTGGTACTCTTTGCGCTGCGGCGATGAGTATGCTGGGAAGGGTGTACCGACCTGGCCTTCGAAAGAACCAAGTCTTTTCACTCATGGGTGCCATGATTCCAATGGGGTTCGCCATCGGCGCGATTCAGGGCGGCGCCTTGAGCTCTCACCTTCACTGGGTCTTCGGGTCTACGGCACTGCTAGCTCTAATCTGCGTCGGCGGTGCGTTTTGGTGCATCCCCTCGCTCCCTGTAGACTCGGTATCACCCAGGGACTTTGACTACGCGGGTGCCTCCGCGGCAATGCTGGGATGCGGGCTGCTCATCTTTGGCTTGACCCAAGGGTCGCCCACGCATTGGAGCCCATATACGTACGCCCTCGTCGCTGTTGGGTTAGCTTCATTGGCAACATTTGGGCTCATCGAAAAGAAAGTCCGCCGTCCCCTCATTGATAATCGACTTTGGTTTACCCCTGGATTCCTGCCGCTGATTGTCTCTTATTTTCTGGGGTATGGAGCATTCGCGGGGGCATGGCAATTCTTCGCCGTGAGATTCTTACTCGCGATCCAACATACGTCTCCGATCACCACAGCTTGCTACTTGCTACCCGTTGGCATCAGTGGTACCATAGCGTCCTGGGTTGTCTCCAGATTGCTGCACGTTATGCCAGGACACTGGATCCTCATGGGCAGTATGCTCGCGTTCGCAACCGGTCCAGCCTTCTTCCTCCCTCAGACGTCAGGGACGATGTACTGGGCTTTATCGTTTCCCGGCTTCATCATCAGCACCTTCGGGCCGGACATGTCCTTCGCGGCAGTTTCCGTGTTCATCACCTCGAACGTGCCCAGGTCTTACCAAGGTGCTGCCGGAAGCCTTGTCATCACAGCTCAGAACCTTTCAACGGCAGTGTTTGCTGCTCTTGGGGATACCGTTGGGGAGAAAGTAGCGAAAATGGCAGACTCCACTCTGGATTTAGGTGCTCTTCGAGCCATTTGGTGGATGAGTCTGGCCACCGCCATGACCGGAGCGCTCGTGTGTGCGTGCTTTGTGCGGATACCGAAGAGCGAGGAGAAGGAGCATGTAAGCTAAAGTCTAGGTGGAGCCTCCACAAGATTCGCTCCGGTTTCACGGCTGCCCATCCCGGAGGTGTAGCCCGCAGCGGGCATCAGAACGTCGCTAAGGACGACCCCACATCGGCGGATGTCCGAGCCGTCTAGTAAGTAAGGGTTTGTTAAGTCAACTACATACCTACCAAAACAACATTTCTACTCTTGCCCATACTTCACAGGCGCAAATAATAACACAATCGCTCTCAAAAGACCAACTTCTGATCAAGGATGACGGTCGGCGTGACGTGTAGTTCAGCGTTTCCGATGGCTATCACTGTCTTGTCGATTCTCAATTTTAGCCACGCAAACCGTTGCCATAGATTGTGTGTCGCTCACGTCTACGGGTATGATTGTTGAACTTCTCTTTTAGTAACCAATGATGACTTCGGTCACGAGATACCCCGGTTTCTAGTCTCACTCATTCCCGTCGTGCGAGGTTGAGTTCGTCCAGCAAGCCTCGTTGCTTTCCTAGCCACAATTGCCGTGTTCTGGCTCGCTCTTTGAGCTGAATTACGTTAAATTGAATCCGTTGAAGATGGGAAGGCAGGGATTTGCACAGAATTCCCTAGAAGTTACAAGCCTACCGCCTGTATCGAAGCTGCGTCAAGTTTCTGAAAAGCGGATGAATTTCTGGCAATTCCATTGAGGTTTAGCATTGTAGAGCTTCCGATTGTACGCACCAGACGCAGGATAAAAATTGCTGGAACCTTTGAAAGTTCCAATACAGGTATTCCACAAGCCGAAAAGTGCCGTACTCGTAATTGTGCTTTTGGTCCAACACATGGAAGCCGATCCGGAACCTTTCAAACCCAGATCTAAAAACTACCATAAAGCCTTCCGTAAATGTTGAGCATCTCCCGGTAGTGGTACAGTATTCAGAACATATTTATTGTAAAGGACGACGAAGAAGGCTTTCATGTGAGACAACTGCCTCGTCGCCGTCTAAACTGAGCTTCCATAGACTCCGACATGTGTAGACCTTCTTCAAATTCAATCGAGCGCGGATTTTGTCACATTTCTAGGGTCGGTATTAAACCTGTCCAAAACGAAGTCCATCTAACATTTCTCAAATCTCAGTGAGCCTTCGCAGTAATCATACCTAAGGGTAGAGATGAGTCGCTTTGCTAGAATGCGTTATCTTACCCAATGTACAAATCGTGATCGTTGGCGTTCACTGAAATCTTTGCCGCGGAAAAGGCTTTTTTGGACTGAATTTCTGAAATGGATCCTAGTCGAATATCCAGTCTTCCTCGGCATTCAAAGATCACATGCAGCAGACCTCTCTATCGTTTGTAGACAACCATGTTTCTGTCCCTCATCCTCTCACGCGCGGTTACACATGTGTGGAATGAGGAGGATAAACGTATGGTATGATCTTGTTTCATTGCACTCATTACTTGCACTTCGTGATCTATGGTCAAACCTAATAGGCTAGCCAGACGACTCAGAGTTTAAAGGAAAGCAGCAAGAGCATTGTGCTGTTGTAACTCCAAAATTTCATTCTTCTCGTGTCGCTTGATTACTCCACTTCACAATTTATAGAACCCTTCAGAGCGTTGCTCAAGTGAATTGCCCAAACCCACGATGTCGATGCATAGAAGAGGGGCAGGATTATGCCAGCAGTATGTCTGAGCAAACAACCAAATTAGGCCTCTTGATAACTCTTTCTAACTCTAAACACTGCTTATTTTATGTAGTCATTGAAGCCCAGAAACGTTCTCAGTCTCAAAGACCTAGATGTAGCATTACTTCTTGTGTCACTCTCCCGCGTCGCTTCTTCTAGTATATTTCGGGGGGTCGGAACCTCTAGCACACCCAGTCCGAGTCTGATATGCCAAGCTTCGCAAACTACAGAGCTGTACAAGTCAGAGGAGGCCTTGCTGCGCCCTAGAAGCGGGCGGCAAACACCAGCCACGCTTGGCTGCCATTTGGCCCATGTTCCACAGAAAGGAGAAATTCTGGTTTCTTTTAATACGTTGAAACAAGCACTGAACAGGTCCCACGCGAAAAGAACGTCTCGTCCGCCTCCGCCGGCAGAAGTATATAATGATGTCTTGACGACCTGAGCAAGAGAGAAGCCCGCCAGCCAAATCGATGAGGTTTTCCATGTATGTGAGCCTCAAGGGTCGAAGTGAAACTCACGGCAGCTTCCTCAAAGCTCGCCCAAATGTCACGAATGTCCGCGTGCTCGTTTCTCAGGACACCAGCTGCACCTGCACCATATTCAGACACGAATAAACAGCAAGAACCGAAAGGCAATACCAACCGAAGAAGCCAAAGTTATGACGCACATAGTCAATCGGCATGGCCAATGAGATTCGCATCCCAGATGACGTTGAGGAAGGGACGGCTAGAGAGAACAATGGCAATGGCTGGTGGATCAAATTTGCCACATGCACGCCGAGATCAGCAGTGATGTGTCGCGAGCAGACGAGAGCCGACACCGTAAACCTTTAATTTTCAAGCTCTCAATACTGAAGGCAAGTCCCGCCCATCTCGATAGAGAGTGGCACACGATACTTCTACCAGGAGGCCCAGCAAGAGACCTCCGCAGTAGATACTTAAAAGCGTTTCCGTGAATCAAACATACTGTGATCCAAGCTTAAATCGAATCGTATCAGCATCAAGATTTCACCCTCATCTGGAAGTGGAACATTATCACCGGCATTACCGGTGTCGATGCCTGCATCCGTCAGCCGCAGCAACTCAGGGTTAACTCATCCCAAGCGATGCCAACCTACTATTGGTGGGTCAGAGACGGGCGAATACACCAACATCAGCGACGACGCGACGGCAATGAATATCGGGAGGCTGTCTGTCTTCATGGTCCACCTAAGGTTTGTAAACTTGGTGCCAATGGCGTGTTTCTTGAACAGACAGCTTCCGAGCCCTCCATTTGCAAACTTCGCCGAAAGAGATATTCGCTTGCGGTCTACCTCGCAACGAAGAGTCGGGCTTCATATGTCATCGCTCATTCAAGCCTGATCACTGAGCGTGGAAGTCAGGGGACATATTTCCATAGGGCACTCTACTCTTATCCCAGAGCAGTTCTAGATAGTCAATTTGTTCTTTAACTGGCACCTGGCTGCAGACTCAGGCATAACAAGTAGATCCCTTGTATTCTGGCAATATGAATTCAAAGAACATGCCAGGTAAATTGCTACCTGAGATACACGGACGCAGAAGTTCCACTTAGTGATTCCCCAACCTCGTTGTGGCCCGTTGCGGTCTTTTGGTTTTGATGGGGTTGAGATCAGCTCGCCTGGTTTACCAGACCATAAAGTTCCCGCTCCAATTGCCCTTGCTGCCGTCGCCGACACGCCTCTGATATTGTCTTTGGTGGTCGATCTATCCCCGGAGACTCTGTGTCTGACTTTATTTCTGGCCCCACGTTGAGAATAGCTGATGGTGGGCTCATGGAGCCACAAAACAGGGCCAACTTGGATGAATCACAGGAAGCCTAGCAATAGCGACATGCGAACAATCGCTGGCTCGCTCACCGGCCAGCCGGGGCAAACAAGTCAGCAACCGCATGTGGCTTGCTTCACCGAACGGAAGGATCGACAGAGACACAAGGCGGCGCATAGGAGTTAAGAAATGGCATTCTCACGTAGGGATTGCCATTGAGGCTGACAGCGGTGCAACCATCCCGGATCCTCGTAATCCTGTGAGTGATGGGCGTTGTACGCAAAGTCAGCTCAGTGAAACACAGTCCGAATAAGCTACAGGGGCAGATCCACTGAAAGTACCAGCTGACAAGTTTGCCAAGGAGTGTTTCCCACGCGTTCAGACCAAGCAGCGACCCGCTGGCGTCTGAACAAAGTTGAGTTTTGTGGATGATGAGGGGAAAACCTGGGGAGAAGTTGTCAATCACGTAACAGAAACTGAAGCTCACAGAATTGATTGACTAGCGAGTAGACCTCGTGTCAAATAGTTCCGCTTTCCCCAGAGGTTGAGAGTCGTGAATGTGGCGTGCTTTTGCTGCTCTCCTCGTGCGGCGCGGCATGCTAGGCACGCTATTAGTAAAAAATTTCCCCGCACCCTGGTCATCGACTCGGGCCAGTGACCGGCTACAGAAGGTCGATAGCGAACCAGGGGGTGCTGAAGGAACGGCTCGGTTGGGTCGCCAATCGCTTGTCGACTGGGCGGTTTCCATCACAACGGCAGGCCAAGCTGTCTTGTATCTCGGCCATCTGGGCACGCCCAATCGACTGGCTTTACCAAGCCGATCTTGCGTCTTTGCTTTTGGTCAAGCTTTTGGACCAGATGTGCCAAAGTCTTGGGATTTGAGGGTCTTTGACGACATGTCTTGGAAGTTGAAGATGGTCGGGATACTCTGTTGATGCCCTTCTTCATCCGCAACGAAGGAGCCGCAAAGCGCCGGGTTGGGTGCGAGGGCTGTGCCAGGCCTGTCAATTGACTCTGCGCCGGGCATGAGCGAATTTTGGCCTCCCCAAACTCGTTTAGGGTAGCTCGTTGGAGGCTCTTGGCGTCAGCGGTCGCGATGAATCAAAGCCAAGAGACAGTGCTCGACTGCGCCGAAGGGTGCCAAAGTGCCCTTGGAATTGGCGCTTTTAGGCATGTCTTGGCTCGCGTCAACTGAAAACGCCTCCAACAGTTTGGCCGATCGATAGCCCGTCCCTAGCCGGGATTGATAGCGAGCGTCTGTTCACTATTCGTTACTGGTAGAGACAGTGTGGACGGCGCTGATGGTTTTCACCCGTCAGCGGCGCGGCATGCCTCGCGCACGCCAGAGAAGCATTCAAGGGGTAACGTGCCGGCGCCAGTGTCGGCTCGACCTCGTTTGAGTGACACATTGAGGCAGATACCCGAAGCCACGGAACGCCGGTGGATCAAGGACGACGGTTGACGTGCTTTAATGAATGGCATCGTGGTTCAAACATGGAGCGGTTTGTCTCCGGCGGTGGGACTTTGAGAAAGTGGCCTGTTGTTGCTGCTGAATGGGACGAATATCTTCGT